TGCACTTGTTTATTTCTGTATCAATGGTGTTAAAGCACCATTTAAATTGTCTTTAATTTTAGTTTTTTGTTTTTAGAGAAAAAGAAACAGATGAAAAATTAAAACAGTTGCGGACAGTGTTGCAAAAACTTCCCACAGAAAACTATAACAACCTCAGGTATGTTAGAGTTTCAACTCTGAATGTTTTATATCCACCTCAAACTACACTGAACAAAATTATAAACGTGGATGGATTATCTCGGCAAAGGAGAAGTGCTCACTAACACAGATTTAGACAGATTTGTGAACAATATTTGAGAGAAATAGGCCTTTTGTGTACATAGAAAAAGTCTTAGATCTTTGAGTTCAGCTCATGAAAAATGGGGGCAAAAACAAAAGTGTTGCGTTTATAATTTTGTTCAGTATATTTATGCACGTTTTCACACCTCACATTCACTCTGTGTGTCTATATCTTTGACGTATCGCTCTCTCCATCAGATACCTTGTCCAGTTCCTGTCACACTTGTCAGAGCAGCAAGCAGTTAACAAGATGACACCCAGTAATATTGCCATAGTGCTTGGGCCTAATCTACTGTGGCCTCGCTGTGAGGGGTCAGTATAGCACACACAACCACAAATCTAGACTAAATTATGCATTTAAACTGTAATCTCCTAAAATTTGTTTTGTCACTCTTTCTTTTTTTCAGAGAGACGTCATTGCTGGACATGGCATCTGCTTCTTCGGTGCAAGTTGTGACGGTCATAGAGCCACTTATACAGTATTCCAAGAGCCTCTTCCCCGAAGGTACAGGAACATTACATAAGTAATGGTTCACTGTTGTTTTTAATGAGGTATAAACAGCAATAAATGACCTTATTACATCCAGAATTTCATTTCTGTTCATCCTTTAATGCAGGGGTTCTCAAACTTTGTTTTGTCAACCAAACCTCTTATACATAAAATATTTCCTTGAAGTGCCCCCTGATATTTTAAGTTAATATAATTTAATGACAGGTTTGTATGTTTACAATTCTCTGATGTCTGGTTACATGTCATGCAAACAGATACAATTTTAACTTTTTAGTAAGTGTTTTATTTTGAGCTGGTCTTTAAAGTAGACACAAATCTCTCTTTAGTTGTGACAGAGTCTCAGTTCACATTACATTCACACTGCTGATAATACAATTTTTCATTAATAATGTTATGTTTTTACTCTAATTACAAAAATGACGATAAAAATATATTAATGTTGTAACTTTCAATTGTACTGTAAAATACAAAGGAACATTTTGCTAGTAATTATAATCATTTTATTTTACACTTCAAGTTACAATATTAATGTTTCTGTCTTAAATTTCAAATGTCTGAACCCTCAAGCTTTAAACATTTCAAATCGTCAAGCTTTTAATTTTGGCAGAATACTGCTGAAATGCTGTAAACTTTTTCTCACAAAAACGTTGGAGATTATACAAATGGGTAAAAAATTGTGAACTTAGCACACATTAGTGTTCCCAAATGCATGTTAAACTCACAGCACATGCACAGATGGAGTGCACTGCATTTGCTGTGAACCAAGAAGCGCTCGCTTTGAAACACGCAGAGCATCAGACTATTTAGTTATTTAATTAAATCTTTAATTTGTTTTGATAATCACTATATTGTGATTATTGTGCCACCCTATCCCTTTATTTTCATTTTCATTGGATATGATTCATTTTTAGCTTTTCATCAACTCATGAACCCCCTTCCCGCCTTGCCTGATTCTATGTAATAAGGAAGTTTTATGTTTTTATTTTTGCTTAAATATTTAAGTATTAGGTATTAAAAAATAATTAAAATACTGAAGTGCAAAGTGTTTTATTTTGTGACATTCTAAATAAAAATATTTGAACACAAACTTCCTTAATTTCTTTTTAGAGGCTGATTTTGAGGTCCCAGAACTACCTGAAAGCCCGATCCCGAAAATATCCCAGAGACCTCTTTCTGACAGCATCTTACCCTCTCCCCCTTTCTCATCTGGTCGACCATCCCTATCAAAAACTGACAGGTAGTCAACCACCTTTGTAGTTTTTGAGGTCAAGACTTTCTTCTAAATGAGACTTATTAAGTTACAAAAGTCTTATTTTGTTTTGGCTTCTTGTGCTTCTTATTTCAGCTCAGCATCATCTGAGGACCTTGGGGTGACAGTCGTTGTGAAATATCAGGTGAACCGTGATGCTGTTGTGTGGAACAACATCGATTCTAATCCAATTGCTCAACCGCCTACACAGAATCACATGCCTCCAGCACTTCCTCGTTACACTCAAGCCCACAGCCAATCGCAGGCTAAGACACAGAGCTCCAGCCAATCAGAGCCAACTCAGGAGCTGCCCTCCCAGTCCCAGGAGCCCATGCTGAAAATCACTGCTCCATATAAACGTATGTTGGTAATCATAGATGCTTTTTGTGCTGTCTTACTGTGGTAGAAACTACATTTCCAATTGTTTTCTGCAGCAAGGAGGCCTTTTATCCAGCAAAAGGCACCAAACCTTGCCAAAGGACCTCCTCTGAGCCAGGCAGGCCCTTTCCCAGCAGCCCAGGCGAGAGTGTTCCCTGCTCCTCTGCCAAGAGGCTCTGAAATAAAACCACCACCTTCACCCAAGCCCGAAACCACCCAAGCTCCATTGCCCACATTGCCTGAAGGAGGACCACAAAAGAAACCACAAGGCAGAAGACCTAAAGTTCCTCCTCCACAACCGCCCCGAGCACTGAACAAGCAGCTCTCCTCTCCAGCACAGTGAGTTCTGGAAAGGAAAGTCGACTGGGAAAAAGCACTGGTTTGTTATGACCTTCTTTCTCAAGTGCAGCATCTTCTGGTTAAGCGCTTTTAACTGCAGTGTTTTAACACACTAGTGTTCAAAAGTTTGAAGTCTGTAAGATTTTTAAAAAATGTTTTTTAAAGAAATCTCTTATGCTCATCAAGACTGCATGTATTTGAACAAAATCCAGTAAAAACAGTAATATTATAAATAGTATTACAATTTAAAATAACTTTTCTATTTGAATATATTTCAAAATGTAATTTATTCCTGTGCTGACTTCTCAGCAGCCATTACTTCAGTCTTCAGTGTCACGTGATAATACAGAAATCATTTTAATATTCTGATTTGGTGCTCAAGAAACATTTTTTATCAGTTTTGAAAACAGTTGTGCTGTTTAATATTTTTGTGGATAATAAGCAGTGATACATTTGTTCCTTTGATGAATTAAAGGTCAATAGAACAACGTTTGTTTTACATTTATAAATATCTTTACTGTCACTTTTGATCAGTTTAATGCATCCTGAATAAAAGTATTAATTAAAAAAAAAAAAAAAAAAAATCCCAAACCTTTGAACAAAAGTGTATGTCTGCTTTAGAGATACTGAACCGTTAAGAACTGTCGAACACAAATACAACATAGTATAATCTGACTTCCTTTGGTTTTAGTTTAGGGCGTACTGACACGCTTCACATAGCTATTTATATATAAGCTTATTCTGAAGCATGACATTTGAAACGCCATAACGATAAAATCATGCTCACACTTGTTAAAGCATTTTAAGGCTGATGTTGTTCATAGCTTCTTTTAATGAAATCTTTATTGCTGTCATTGATAGGTAACATACATTGCTATTTTGTACATTTCTTGTGCAAAGCCGCACATACGTACAGTATGTACATATTATATTGTGATTAAGGGAATGGAGAGGTCAACTCCTTTGTCATAACAAAAAACTTAAATTCAAACAAAATTCATATTAATATTTAATCATAATTTCACAATACATTGATAAAAGCTGGTGGACAGCATATAATATTACTGTATACTGTGTTGATCTTAAGATATTTATCATGTAATAAAGGAAAGAAAAATGACAGTATGGTTGTTGTTTTTTTCTGAGTTGTTTGTACTAATGTGAAAACATAAAGCACATCACGGTTTTGTGCATCACAGTGACCATAGGTCTTTGTCTTGTTCGCTGGTTTCTCAGGAAATAATTAAACTGCAACACAATGTTCACAATGGGAATATGAGCTATTAAAAGTATATGAATGCAACATGTAAAGTGTTTTGTGTAGTAGATACAAGATAGCTAGCAGGTATATGTCTGTATTCTACATGGTATCACTCTGCATTACATATGACAGAGGTTTACTTGAAATCTAAATATTGTAAACTAAAATATTGCATATTTTAATGGCATATTACCATTGTATAGCTAGCTGTGTTTATTGTGCATTACAGAGCAACTGTGGCAGGTTTTATTTCCCTGGATCAAAGCGAATGTTTTAGGGATGAGACGGTAGGATCAAACATAGAAGAAAATTTAAGATGCCAATACTAGATTATGTTCTTGTCCAATATTTGCAAAATGTAGATCCACTCACATGGCAGGTAATTCTGATGTTTTCTTTAAAACACCATGAGCGTAGGGGTAAATAATAGTTCATTAGCTTTCACTTTCCCCATTGCAAAATGTAGAAATATTTTTAAAGGAATAGTTCATCCAAAAATAATAACTGGGTCATCACTCTCATGTGATTATAAACTTTTATGACCTTCTTTCGTGGAAGTAAAATTTTAGGCCAATTTAACTGGTGCTCTTTTTCATATTATGAATCTGAATAAGAACTTGGGCTGTAAACTGCAAACTACAAAATGACAAAAAAGAAAGTTTAACAAAAGTAATCCCATTGACTTGTGGGTTGTGGGTAGTCTTCTGGAGTCATACAATAGCTTTCTGTGAGGAACAGACCAGATTTCATTATTGTTACATTTACAATGTATTATTTAATTGTTCTTCAATGGACACTCCACCCATTAAGAAAAATCCTGATATCATTTACTCATGTCATTCTAAACCTTCCTAGCAGAACTGAGGTATTTTGAAGAACATTGGAAGCCAAACAACATTGAACTCCACTGACTTTCATTGTATGTTGTACTTTTAACATGACAAAAACAATTGAAACATTCTTCAAAATATCTTCTTTTGTTCTACAGAAGAAAGAAAGTCCGTTTTTGGATTGTCATGAGGGTGAATGAATGATGACAGAATTTTCATTTTTGGTAGGAATATCCCTTTAAATGATTAATTATTTTAGTTATTCATTGACATCTGTCCTACTTGTCTGTGGCATGTTCACGGGAGAAGTAGCAATGTCATATTCCTGAAAAAATTGTCTTTATCTTTTTAGTGTTATCTTTATCTTTTCCATGTTTATGCAGTACAGAAAACCAGTCTGGATGATTCGTTCAAAATTTGAACCAGAACTGATTTGGTGCTCGAGTGACTCTCAAATGATGATACTTTCATGGTGCTTTTTTTTATGATTATGGAGCTTGAAAGGCCCAACCCTCATTCGATTACATTATAATGAAAAAAGTGGCATTCTGTGCAACTCCTTTCATTATATCGCAATGGAAAGAATCAGGTTTGGAACATCATGAGGCTGAGGAAATTATGAAAGAACATTCGTTTTTGGCTGAACTATCCATTTAAAGGTGATGTACGATTTGGACTATAGTGTTAGACTTTGATTTCTTCTTCTTCATCAGGATAGCTGTATGGTCCTCTCCTATGAGAGTTGTTGGTGTTTGTATTCCTGAGTCCTCCACTCCCATAATGACGTGCCAGCACATCAGCAGCCCTCTGGAAACTCTCCGGCTCCATGCCATGATCCTCAATGGAGAAGGAGCGCATCCGATCCCCCAACATGGATTTTTTGGGTGACTCTCCATTTACAAAGTCTGAATGCTTCCACTCTCCTCCATACAACCGTGTCCTACCGTCATCGTCTTCTCTCAGGAGAGAGTCCACCAAGGACGTGGTTGCATCCGAGTCCACCTCAGAGTTATCATCGGTGGACTGTGTTTTTTCACTGATGGGATCAGCCGTTTCACACACAGGGCTGTCAATCATGGCAAAGACTTCAGACATGAGGGAAGGGCCCAGATCAAGAGTGAAGGAGTTCATGGAGTCAGAAGGACTGATGGAGTCTGAACATGGGAAGGACGGGATACCCGTGTCTGTGAGCGAGCCTCTGTGGATTTCAGGCGGGCAGGCAGAGGGAGAACTGCCCTGGGCTGGAAGCTCAGTGCGGGACAGTCTCGGCAAGGTTACAAAGCCAGACTCCAAACCTGCAAAACAAAGAAAGAAGAACGAAATTGTTCTTGCATGTGAGTTTGACCAACAGAGGGCAGTGAGAACCAGTACATTGCATTTAGCACTTCCTGGACTGCAGCATGAGAAGCAAATAATTTCTGCCATATGGTTGGATGCCCTTAAAGGGATAGTTCACCCAAAAAAGAAAATTTTGTCATCATTTACTCACCTTTATGTCTCGGTGTTTTTGTCCATATAACAAAAGTCAATGGGGTCCAATTATGGATCCCACTGACTTTCACTATATAGACGAAAACAGCTGGAACTATCTTCAGAATATCTTCTTTTGAAAGAAAGTCATACAGGTTTGGAACAACACAAAGAACATGAGTAAATGATGACAGAATTTTCATTTTAGGCGAACTGTCCTTTTAAGATTTGTGAATCTGACCACAGAGCTCTGTAACAGTGCACACTTGGCACAGAAAGGGCAGCGATTACAAATTACAGGAAAATTGTGGATACAGAAACTCTTCACATGATTGAAAACAGGGCTCTAAGATGGGATGTGCGCTCAGCACTGAAACATCTCATTCATAGCTCCCGGTCAGAACAACATTATAGCCTTCAGTCTTCAGTGAGTCATTCAGTCAGCTGAATTAAACACTTAGGTTTGCTTACTAAAACTTTCCATATGTTGATAATGAAACTAATCAGACTGTTTGGGTTTGCGTTTGGTGTGTTTTTTTGAGTATGCAGGGGGTTTGTTTTTGAATAGGCTCTCCTGTAGAGCAGCCAGTGAGGCATGTTTGAGGTATTTGAATGGGTGAGGCAGACGCTGATCACTGAACTGTAATGTCTGGCTCTAAGGAGTCTGGGATTGCCACAGGTGTTTAGATGGCTTATCAAACAATTTCTGTTTGATCTTCCTCATGATTCCCTGAAGGACAGAAAACTTGCAAACAAACATATTTAATTTAGACAAAACAAGCATGAGACACAGTTGCTACTTACACTACAGCTAAAAAAAAATGTTTTTGAAAGAAGTCTCTTATGCTCAACAAGCTTGATCAAAAATACAATAAAACAGTAAAATTATGAAATATATTATAATTTATAAATAACTAATTTCTATTTTAAAATATTCTTTATTTTGTGATGACAAAGCTGAATTTTCAGCAGCAATTACTCCAGTCTTCAGTGTCACATGATTGTTTCTGAAATCATTCTAATATGCTAATTTGGTGCTCAAGTAAAATTTTATTCAAACACTTATCAACTAATATTTATACTGGTATACTGATTTATTTATCATGGTTATTTTTTTTGTGGAAACTGCTATTAATACTTTTTTCAGCATATGAATGGAAATCTTTTCAAAAATCTTTTGTAACATCATAAATGTCTTTAACAGTAACTTCTTTTGCTTTTACTTTGATAGGACAGTTGAGTAACGACAGGAAGCGAAGTGGGAGAAAGAGAGAGGGAGCGGGATCAGGATCGGGATCAGGAAAGGTCCATGAGCCGGGACTTGAACTCGGGACGCCTGTCCCAATCAGTGCTGATAGTCACGTTTGATCAATTTAATGTGTCCTTGCTGAACAATTTCTTACATTGGTTACATCCTGTTCGGTACACATACATTTTAGTAATGTTTTGTTTTATTTTTTCTTTTACCGCTTTCTACAAAAGAATTTGCTTACAAAAACTGCACATTCACAACTTTATTTACATTAAAGTAGTGTGTACAGAACTGAACTGAATTAATTAGATAATGCAGTGACGCAAGTATCCTTTCAGATGCTGTTCTTTCGTCAAGATGTTGTGCTACAAAAATAATTTTGCACAAAATGATGTTAATCATGGAAACATTCATGATTTTTCCAAGCTTTATAAGGATTTCATTCATTGTCATGACTTTTCGAAGCCTATATCTCACACTGACTGTAGTATCTTCCATCAGCCCTGCCTTCTGGAGTGACTTCTGTACACACACAGAACGCCCATAACTTCACTTCTACATTTGAATCTGACAAAGGTGAACACTAACAGACTCACCATACAAGTATGTGGAGTTCTCTGGTGTTTTGGGTGGACTAGGGAAAAGCACTTTCACAGGACAGCCGTTGGGTGAGTCCACGTCCAGCCGGGGGAGGGAAATGGCATTCTTAATGATTGGAGAAATGGGTGGAGGTGGAGGCGAAAGGTCCTTGGAGCTGCCGCGGGGCCTGTCGGGGGTCTTGCGGACATGGCGAAGCGTGCGGGAGAAGAATCCCTCATTCTTCTCTGAAGTGGAGGAGGAGTCTCCATCTGCGTTATTTCCTGCTCCACCATGGTTGCTGAGGAACGAGGTGTCCCCAAACACATCCCCTCCACGGCCCACGTGCATGGTGTGGCGGAAGTCACATAGTGGGGGGCTGATCATGTCCGGGGTGAGGTCACCTTTAAATCGACGCTTTCCTGAAGAGTGGGAAACCAGGCCCTTCAGGCCAGCGAGCTTGCCCAAGTTCATGGCTTCTCTGGGTACAAACTGTAAATTTCCAGAGTCAGAAAGAAAATATCCACAAAAATTATTTTAAAAAAAATGGTGAGAACACCTTAAGAAAGCAAACTATACACGTATCACCCTTCAAGCTTTAAAATATCTCGGCAGAATAACAACCGCAGTTGAGTGGAAAGTTTCTTTTGCACAGTTTCTCAAAAGGGAGACGCATTCAGCTATGTCCCATTTTGGCCATCGGTCTTTGTTCATATCCAGAAAGATTCTGTGAAGATAAATGTGAGCTGAAAATATGCATGACTCCAATTCCTGAAAACCTCTGCTGCTTATGTGGTCAAAGATTCTGGGCTTCCCAGTTGTTCTGGGTTTGTGCTTCTGAAAAAAAAAAAAAAATCAGTTCAGAAATAAATTCAGCTCGGGCTGCAGATATCTTTGTGGTTTGGGACTGAAACCATGTGCTCCTTCTTTAGTAAGGTCCAGAGAGACTGCTGCTACATGCTCTGGAAGATGCAAATATTAACAAAATATCTGTAAACAATTCAGTTGCTAAAAAGAAAGTGAGACATAGGCACAGACATGCTACACTAATGATCAACTTTTGCTGTAAAAATGTATATATATTTTTAAAATGGCATGTTCTGTAAAACTGAGCAAATTTGATTTGCTAATTTTTAATGAGTCTTGTATTGAATTATTGACTGTAGTTCCCTTTAAATGCCTAAATTCAGCTTTGACTCCTCAGTCATTCACTTGCACTGTACGGTATTTCGGTCGTTCACTTTAAGGGTATCCTGTTACCAAAGTATGCGCATTTACCAGAGAATTTTTCCACTGTCAGACTGTAAATGCAAAGAAGCGCTAAGGCTACATTTTTCAATGACTATTTTTTATTAAAATACGTTTTCTTAATAATTTTTAAATGATTTTTTTCCATATCAAAAACATTCAATTAATAGAAAAAAATATTTGGTAAACTATTAGTAACGAACAGTTAAGCTAATAAAAATTAGAATAACAACACTTAGTCTGACTTTATTAGTAGTTTGTTTTATCTTGGGTCAGCTCAGACTTTTAATTTGTGCTTGACTGTAGTTAAAGTCATGAGTATCATTTTAAAAGGAGTGACGTCTCATGTCTTATTCCATCAAACCACAACACACCTTGCCACAACACACTTGTTGCCCATTTAATGCTAAATTACCAGTAAAGACTTACCATGTGTGATAAGCACAATTTATTTAGCCAAACCCTTTACCTGATTACTGTCAGGTCATAAATCATATACATTCTGCTGTTTGGACCTAGGAAAAAACACTAAAATGTTTGATATTACACTGCTGAAAATGTACAGAAGCCACATACCTTAATCAGATTTGTGTAATCAATGTGATCGCATGCTTTCCAAATCCAAGTTCATTCAGTGACCCTTGACCTGCACACTGCTGAAGTGTATAAGGCGGCAGGGAGGCTTGTTGCTTTATCCCTCCACTCCCACCGGCCTCTGCTCCTGATCCTTTGTTTTTAAAGATACTCAAATCCAGCGGCCCACTCGCTAGGAATCTCCCGGGGGAGATAAAGGGATCTTTAAAAGGCAATAAATTAAATGTAATAATCTGGGCAATAGTACAGCTTGACGGAGGCTCCTTAAGGATTGGTCATGTCCAGGATAAGCCCCAAATCCCTCTTCTCTTCCTTCCCCCCGAATCCCCCTCTGCTGGCTTATTCCACTCAGGCGTCCCAGTTTGAAGGGGTTCCTGTAAAATCAACAAAGTATGAGAGAGTGAAACAGGTGGATGTGTAACACAGATCACGATCAAAGCAGGCCAAAAGTCTAAGACCACTAGTGAAAATATGTTTCTAATTGAATACATATTTGCAGTACAAATTATATTATCAACAGAACAATTTGTCTTAAATTAGAATTATTTGAAGTAAAAAATTATATGAATTTCAGGTTTGTCCTCCTTTTGCTTAGTATTTCTGACCTTTTGAACAGAGAAGTTCACATGATCAGTAACACAATATTTTAGTGACCTAGAAATAGTGTATACAATCTTATATTTATTATTTATTGTCTATTTTTATGTTATTATGTATATGTCTTTGTTTTACATAATATATACTATTAAATAATATAATAATAACACTGCCAGTCAAAAGTTTGGAATAATTAAGATGTTTTAATGTTTTTGAAAGTAGTCTCTTATGCTCACCAAGGCTGCATTTATTTGATTAAAATAAAGTAAAAACAGTAAGCAGTAGAGTAAGCATAAGAGATTTCCTTCAAAAACATAAAAAACAACAACATAAAAACTAAATTATTAGTAGTTACTAAATTACAAAATTATTAGACTGGTAGTGAATATAATATTACATAACATTGTTATAACATTTCAAATATCAAATATCAAAGTATTAATATTTAGCATATTTAGCAAGTATTGGTGAAACATAGAATCACATGTGTCCATATAAAGATCTATTGTCCAAAGTGTATTTTGGGAACATTGTCCTCAAACATAACTATTTTTTCCAACATTTTCTGAGAAATGGGTATGGTTGGGGGCATATGTCGTGTAATGTGCTAAACATAACATAACCAACTAATACACTGACATTTAGCAGGGCTGCTGCTGCCTCTCGACATGACAAACAGCAATAAACCAAAACACACTGTCTCATAATTCTTGCAGCAGTTTTTAGTGGATGCAAACAATGCAATTATGTCTGTGCATTGTTTGAGAGGAGATGCGCACATCAACTCATAAACCGCAGTCTAATAGATCCCGTGTGTGAATGCATTCCTGGGGGAAACATCTCTGTCTATTACAGACATCCAGTACAGTGCCCACATCCCAGATTGGAAACATGTTTAGGGTTTTTCTCTTCTTTCAGAAAAACGGGACTGTCGGCTTTCCTTCATGTGGGCAGAAAAGTTGATCTGTCTGATCTTAATAGCACTTGGTCTTTGCAGCCGTCCAATGCACATTCGTATGATGTCATTAAAATAAGTGATTTGAACATCAGTCACACTGACTGAACATTTGTTCTTTTACACTGAAAAATGGTTCAAAAGGTGTTTCTTAAAATATTTCTCTCATTCCACTGAAACTACATCTTGATCAGCTAGGCTACACTACTGTATAACTTAACTAACTAGGTGAACAAACATTCAAGATAAGGCCTCATTTTTCCTTTTCACCCAATGACCTCCACTCATCTCATGCGGTCTAAAGAAAAAAAGGGGCTGCCAAGGCGTAAATCATGATTACAAATATACTCATTTCATCATCTGAACATATCCTATTTTTACTCAAAGCACTCAGCATGACCGTCTGGCAGAGTGAGTCCTTTATGGAAAATACCACCAATGCAAACACAATCTCAGTGGTTTTGTGTGAAAATATACAGCAGCTGGCTCTGTTTGCTTTACTCTTGTCTTTACTCCCTTTATTATCTTATTTAGACTGTTTTTTTTTATCTTTGATTAGTAATCTAATTATCTACCGAACAACTACCTAATCTAAACTAATCTAAAAAAGCACAGTGGCACAATGAATACTAGTTAACAGGCCTCCTCCAATACCCTGTAATGCAAAGTACATTTTAATTTTCAGTTTAAAAAATGACATTGACAAATCAGAGTAACTAAATAGGACAAGGACAGATCAATGTTGCTGAACTAAAATGTTACTGTAGCAGTTTTCACTACAGTCCATTGATCTAGTCAATTGTGAACTTTGGATTTCATTGCTTCATAGAAATGTCATCCTAGTTTATTCACTTTTTAAAGGTACGCTACATTTAACACAGGCTATAAAAGTAGATTTGCAAGAAAGTGCATGTTTTCCTGATCAGTTACCAAAGCCAAATCTTGATAAAGCTCATTAACTAGTATGTAAACCTTACATTCCAACATCTAGTTCAATTAATTTATCATAAAGAATAAAATGAATCAAAATCCGCCGCTCATAACGGGCATGAACTGTGGGTACCCAGGTGAAAAAGACGTAGTATTAAATATATTAAAAATATACTTGAAATTCAAGTAGTATGTTTATAATACGTTTGTATTCCAAACATGCTTATTTGAAGTGCAATAAAAATATAATGAATTGCATTTTAATATATTTCTAAAAAGTATACTAGAAGTACTTTTGTATTAAATATATGCTTAGTTATACTTCTAAGAAATATGCTAAACAGAAGCATACTTTTAATGTATTTATAAAAAGTATACTAGAAATACTTTGGTAATAAATATATGCTTAGTTACACTTTTAAGGAATATGCTAAACACAAGCACACTATTAGTATATTTCTAAAAAGTATAGTAGAAATACTATGTTAATAAATATATTTTTACAAGCTTGACGCCTTTATTTTCTAATATATATTTCTGAAATTCCCACAAGGATTTCAACATCATATATGAAAAAAAAATAAAATAAAAATTGCGTTTACTTGTTTAAATTCAAACAACACACTGGCTAAACCTGATTGGTTCCAGAGCCATTGAACGGCTCTGATTGGTTCGTATGATAATGAGCTCACCCCAGAGAGCTTCC